GCCCCGGTGCCCTTGCCTCTCCCCCTTCTAATCCCCCCCCCCGGCCCCCCCCCCCCCCAATATTGCAAGTCTGTCAGTAAAACAGTCACTGGACTGTTTTAATGGCTTTCTGAAAAAAACCCTGTCCTTGGCTCGGTTTGATGTTTTTTTTTAGTCAGATACCCTAGAAGAAATAATGCAATTGTAACCACTATAGCTATACAATGTGTTGTACTGTTTTTATTCGAAGGCAGTTTAACCGAGGGTTTGGAATGATGTGGTAGACTGGGCTCTCTTAAGCAATTTCCATTAAGAAAGCATAAAACTGTTACATTTGAAAAATGGAAGTCACTGTTCTGGAATTAAAATTAAAACTTTGGTCTATACTAGGTGAAAGGCAAGCTTGCAGGCTGATGTGGTGACTTAGATTTATACTTATTAAAACAAGAAATGTATCACCTGGAAGGAGTAGCAGGGTTTTGGTAGCACTGTGTGAAGTTTGCATATAGTTCCAGGGTGTCACATTTGAAAGGCAGGAATGTTTCAAAGGCTAACAAAAATAAGATTGTTAGTGAGAGTATTTTATAGAAAGTATTTTCTCTCACCATTTACACAAACATTTAATTGTTTTGATACAGCTACTTTGTTAAAGAAAAATTGTTTTCTTGCAGGCTGTTTTTCCTTGGAGCATTAGATTTTCACATGCAGAAATAAAACGCTATTGTGTATTTCCTCTGTCTTCAAAGTTACATTCTTCTGCCTTGCTGGCAGCTTTATTGTTATTTTTTAAAGCTGATTTTCCTGAGGGAGTACTATAGATTACATCAAGATGCGGCCGGGGTAACCATAAGCCTTCTAGACATTGCTGCCTTGGCCATTTCATATGCATCTATCAATCACTTTCATAGAGGGGATTTGTTGAGCTACTCCTCCAAGTTTGAATTTAAAGGGTCCTTCCTTTGACTTTTCCCAACATTGGACACTTTTAAGACTCAGCTGGACAGGTTGCCTGGCCATCTTGTCTAGACCATGCTTTTGCCAAGAAAGGTTGGACCAGATGATCCTTGAGGTCCTTTCCAACCTGGTATTCTATGATTCTGTGACTTCCAAGAAAAGTGTTTTGTTTTGTTTTATTTTCTCAGTTTTTCAACTGAGAAGAAGGAAAAAAGTTTTATTTAAATGCCCATTTAGCTGCATAGAAGTGTTAGTCAACAAATTAGATATTCTGCCCCATGCAGAGAAGAAACTGAACTGCTTATGCACATCCCTTTCCATGGAGAGGAAGGACACTGAGTGCCTTTTTTTATCTTGCGTTTGGAGTCTGGGTATCATACAGATATGATACATGTCTTACTTATATTAAGTAAATCTAGATATGAGCAGGGATTGTCACAAGTTTTATTTTGAAGAGGTTGACTTTTAAAAAGCGTGTTTTATAGTTCTTGTGTTAATGTTTAAAATTATTGTATTTTAAAATCTGCACTACTGCTGCAGAAGGAAGGTTATTTAAGACTATTGACCACTAGTGTTTTGCTGGTTTCTGCTTAATTAATTATTAGTGGTCACTTGCTGAATATGTAGTTCTTTTTCCCTTGTCAACTAAAGTGATATATTTACAGATTAAGTAATCTTTTAGCTCATGTTAATTAAAAAAAAGCCTTATGCTAAAGTATTTCAGCAGTTTTAAAACAAGCTCTAAATTTTAGGTAAGTGAAGACCTAAAAAATGAATTGGCAAATGAGCTGTATACATCAACCCCTGGCCTCAGTATGACTAAAGTAAAAGAACAAATGTTCTATAAGGTAAGTAGAAATTGCGAAGTTCCACAGATCTGCATTCATTCTCTTTCAGTTAAACTTGGAGTTACTAATTTTAAGTTTACATAATGCTAACAGTTTTGATATTGCTAACAGTTAATCAAAGTATCTAAATTAACTGAGACTAACGAGACTTCCTCTTCTTCATGTCAGCATAAGGGCAGAGGGAGGGGCTGGGAGAATGAAGGGAGCTTTAAACTGCTATTGATGTCTTCTGTCCTCTTCTTCCATCTCTTGTCTTTCGCCACAAAAACGGTCTTAAGTTTTAATGTTTCCCAGACAAATGACTTAACTTGGCTGGCTGACAGACCGTTCAGGATGGAGACATTCTCAAACATCTGTTGCTGAAACTAGGTTTGGTCTGATTGTATTAGTCTGAAATTCCTTTTGCAAGAAAGCAAGGGGAAAGGAAAGAAGTATCTAACGTAGCCCACTGATTCTTCTTTGGAGCGAAGTTGGTTGGGTTCCAGATCTCTTTCCAAGACCTTTTATATGTAGCTTACATGAATCAAATATTTCAAGGTGCCTGAAACAGAAGGCCAACAGAAGTCCATTTTCAAATATCAAATCAGTAAGTGATGCAAAGATACATAATTGGGCTAATAATCATAGATACAAACTTTAAAGTAGCTTATTTTGCCTAGTTGCATGACTTTCTGTAAGTAAACTGTATTTTTCCACTGAAATAATGATCAGCTATTCCAAAGTCAACACTTAATTTCAAAATCTTTGTGTTTTGCCTGGATAACGCTTCATTAAAAGACAGAGAATGAATTAAAGCTTTACTGGTCCATCTTGAATCTTAGGGTTGTAAACATTGTTACTGCGTTATTTTGCTGTTCCACAGTGTGGGTTTTTCTTCTTTCTCAGGTTGGACTTGCAGATGCTGTGGATCTGTTTAGAGCCAGAAGAGTGTTTATTAAAGATGGCTTTGCATATGTGCCATTTAAGGAGATTGATGTGATTGTTTTGAGTAACTATAGAACAAAGTTATCTAAAGCACTGGCGGTAAGTTTGATAAAGTCTGATTTTTACAACTTTTGTTGCATTGTTTAGTGACAGTCTTGGACAGTAGCCTTTTGGATTTTTAAATTTATCTGCTTCTGTCTGGAGAATACCAGAAACCCTATCAAAAGTGCTGACAGCACTAAATAAAAGTTCATTAGGAGCTAAGAGTTCATTAATTTTAAATGGAATTTAGCATGTGATATGCATTGTAAAGAAATTTCTGCTAGAGGATTTTAAAATTGTTTCCCACATAGAGAGTAATGTGACTTTTCATTCAAAATGTTAGCCCCATACAGACAACTATTCTTTCTCTTTGTATCGATCTTTTCTCCCACAATATTTTGCAGCAGTTTTTTGTTGAGACAAGTATAATAGTGATTTGTGGTTTTTTTTTCTTTTTTCTTTTGTTAGTGAGAACTGAAATGAGGATAAGTCAGAACGTGTCGGGCAAAAATAAAGTCTTCATTGTATGAATGTTTGAGGTATCAAATCTAGTTAGGATACCTATGGTAAATACTGTATGTGAATGTTCTTCTGTTAGTAATTCTGTGATCAAATTAGGAATTGCTGGTTTTATGGTGTTAAACTCTTCACAGGGTTTCAAAGTTGGTGATCATGTATAATGCACAGAATTTTAGTCCTAAAAAAATATGGCATTGAATAACATGAAGGCAGTTTGGATTGCTTTTTAAAAAGGTTTTCAAAGCCTTATATTGCTATGTCACATTAATACCAAGGTTGCCCATGAGTGTTTAGTAAACAAACAGTGTGAAGTAAAAATGCATTCCTTTAAGAAGCTGCCAGTATGCTAATTTTCTAATTTGTTAATTTTGAATATAACCGGAGCCTGTGGAATTATTTAATGTGCGGTGAAAATCGTGGTACTCTTATGTGAACATTTCCATTAGAACTCTTCAATACAACTGCAACTAGAGACATCTTTATTTCAGTTGATGCATAATGTTCTTGCTGAAAGCTGGTAACACTTGTGTGGGCTTTAAAAACAATGAATGTATTCTACAGAAATGTGGCTAAGTACACAGGTTACCTGCATCTACTCAAAATACTTTTGAGAAGCTTCATGGACTTCTGGAAGTTGTGTGTTTTGTGAGTAGCTGAGGAGAAGTCTGAAAAACAGTAGGAACTGTAATGAGTAGGCTACCTGACTTTTCAGTTTGAGGAAAAATCTGCAACATTTTCTTACGAACACACATTGTCTTATATATAATTCATTTAACCCGGATTACTTTGTTAAAGCCAATAGCTGCTTTATAGTAAAGAAGTACTTTGTTATCCACTGTAATCATGGTTTAGAAATTTTAACACTCATGAGCTGGGAAAACTGTCTTCTATAGAACGCTGTGTTTTAAGTTATTGCAGTATTTCAGGTTTGCATTAGTTTTTAGTTTTAATGCATGCGTTTTGTTTATTAAAGTTCACCATATTTTCAGAGTAAGGAGTAAAAGAAGATTTGTGATTTCTATCCTATTCCAAAGCTCCTGATTAGCTGTGGGGTTTTGATTACTAATTTAGTTTGCGAAACGACATTTAATAAGCTGTTTCAGCTAATTTTAGCCCGCACAGTGCACTGCTGAGAGATGCTAGGAATATTATTAAATTGAGTCTTTCGGAAATGAGGGCCAAAAATCCAGCATGTTTTACAGAGGTCAGTCTAACGTTATTCTGTTATACCAAACAGAGGCATAACTGGAGTGTGACACTTGGTAGCTAGGTAATTAGTGTAGTTTTCACTGGAACAAAACTATAATCATCAATTACATTTCAGTGAAACTATAGGAATACACTTTTAAAGAAAGTATTGTACATAAGGAATCTTTTTAAAATATAAAGATGTTGCTGTTCCACAACATAGAAATTAGGAGGATAATCTTTAGCGATTTTCCTCAGCCTTATCTGGAGTGAAGAGGCACATTTCAATAGAAATTATGACACAGTAGCACACTTCCAGTAGTGTTTGTGAAAAGTAGTTGTTGAAATACTATGTGATCTAGGCCAAAGTTCTGCAAGTACAGCTGGCTTAGTAGTGCTTGGTAATGCTTTTGTAGCACATGAATGTTTGCATGTGTCTGTTGCAAAGGAGAAATCAAAGAGAAATGTGCTGAATTTCAGGTACTGTGATCGTATAGAGGACTTTGTGACTTTGCACAGAAGTTGTGCATCATGGCCAAACTTAATTAAGAAGTAATAGAGCCTTAAACAGCATCACTGATTTGTTATTTGATTTGTCTCTCAATGAATGTATTTTGATAACGTTACTACTTTGGTAAGCTTTACTTATGTGTGCTTTTGGGAGTATGTTTTAGTGTTTTTGCAGCATCTGGCTATTTATGCTTTGTTCTCAGCACTTTCTAATGGGCAATCCTTGTTTTATTAGAATTTGTGAGTTAAAGATCTTAATGGTGTGATAATCCAAATTAGGCTTGAATGCTATTTCTAAAGAAGGGGTTTGTATCTTCACAGGGTCATAAAATTAGGCTAAATATTTTTATCTTCTATGGGGTAGTTTGACTTTGACAAATACTTCTGGCTTTGACAGTCTGTTATAAGCTTCTAAGGGACAAAATACCCTGAATATAGATAGTGGAAAGACGGTCTTTCAGGCACATAGTTTTGAGGAATCTTTCTTACGGCTCTCATTAGTGGTTCAGTTCTTCAACGTTTTCCAGTGTGGATTGTTTGTGTGGTGTTATTGATTATTTGTACTGTGATGCATGTTTTGCCTCTCAGAGGTTGTTTGGTGCTACTCCAAGCAGTCGCACACACAGGTTTTTGGAAGGAGTTGTCCCTATACAGGAATGATTTAATGGTGAAGGCCTACCCTCTCTTTTCCAAGGTGCTCTGAAGCTGTTACACTTTATGGGAGTGTGCTTGTGCTAAAGGTACTCTTCCTAGGTCTCTAAAGCATTGAGTAATTTGGGTGGTTGCCTAGCCTTGTTACATTGCTCACTACATTGCAGGCTCGTGTTGCCACCGTCCTGCATGTTACAGGGTGATTCTAGCTGGGGTTATAAAGGAGGAATATGATGAGAGTGAATTGATGTGTTGATACTGAGCTTTGAGAGAACAGTAAATAATTCATAGTACTGACTTTTAAAAAAAGTTTTATGTTGACACTGGCATAAATTCAGTTTAGTCAGAGTTGTGCTTTAATTGCTTACTAGTCAAGCCACGAAGCAGTCCTATGTTTTGTTTTATCCTTTAAAAATAAGTTTGACACCTCAACTGTGTGGCTATTCCTTGAGGCTCCATAATAGGGGGAGTTAATACTATTCAAGCCTTCTTGACAATTGCAAATGCAGCTGAAGGAGTTCATTTTATGTGCAAAATCAATACTGCGAGGACCTTCTTTCTGTATTCTCTGACCCATTCAATAGTAAATAATTTCCTTTGTGCCATTAATGATGATTAAACTGTAGAAAGCCTAAACATTTTTTGTAGTTCATGTAAGTTGTAATATTAGCTCTACAATTGTTTTATAACTTAAAGCAAAGTTTTATTAATTCAAATTGCATTATATTTTATTCATGAGGGTTTCACTGTGTTCACTCTAGTACACAAACATTTCTGCAGTAATGCTGTGCTGCATTTTGTTAATTTCAGTTATAGCCATGTAGTGAACTTAAGTTGTGAGATTAGTGGCAGTAGTGGATCTCCTTTTTTGAGGATGGTTGTTTTAATTTTTGATTTCTTGAAATGAGAAGATTAGGCTTAGTGTCACGGTTCAGACCCGCAGACCCAATCAGAGCTGTATTATACTCGGTACTGCACAAAGGAGGATTGCTCCAGAGAAATCTGAAATGGGACAAAAGGGGGAAAGGAGAGAAGAGGCTGCCAAATCACTGGCTAGGGCTTGCCTTTATCAGCAGTGTCCTCAAATAATTGAGAAAATGACTTAATATTACGTTAGTAGTTGTCTGACTTGTTTGAACAGGAGTTTGCATTGGACAGCAGTTTGCCTCCACAATTCCCGCCCTGTGTGGTTAACTGCAATGAGCATAGGGGTGGATGACGTCTCCCACCCGCTGAAAGTGTTGCAGCGTTCAGTGTAAGCTTTCCTGTAATGTCTGATCCCCAGAAATGATGTAATTTCTGAAGATGCATTTAGGTTTTTTGAACTACTTTTCTCGCAGTACCATTTAGTACTTAATGTCTGATACAAATACTCTTCCTGTGTGATTGATCAGCAAATCATTTATATAGAGATTATGGTTTTAGATTGAACACATAAAATGCTCTTTTTATTATTAAAATAACACTAGTAGTCTTGACTAAACCTGTGTAGCAGGGCAGCCTCTGTGAGGAGAGGCCGGGGCTGCCCCGTGCCGGACACAGCTGGCTCCAGCCGACCCACCATAGGGCACGGCTGAGCCCAGCAGCCAAGGTGGTGGCTTTGGGGAGGCTGAGCCCAGCAGCCAAGGTGGTGGTGCTTTGGGGAAAATGTATTTAAGAAAGGGCAAATCACCCAACAGAGAGAGGAGGAGGGAACCAAAAGGAGTGAGAAGCAGCAGAGGCAACATCAAGGTCAGAGGAGCAGCTCCATGACACTGGAGCAGATCTTCGTGGCACCAGGCCCCCATGCTCGAGCAGCTGGATGCACCCTGAGGGAAGCTGCAGCCTGTGGAGAGCCTGCGCAGGAGCAGGTTTACCCCGAAGGACTGCAGCCCATGGGAGAGAGACCATGCCAGAGCAGGGGAAGTGAGTGAGTGGGTAGGAGCCCCGCAGAGAGGAGCTGTTACGGACTGACCATAGCTGCCCCTGCCCTCTGCCTACTCTGCTGCTCGGGGTGGGAGATGGAGGAGTCTGGAGTGAAGGAGTAAAGTTCAGCTTGGGAGAGAGGGGAGGAAAGGCATTGTTTTAATGTTTGTCTCTGTTTCTCACTACCTCAGTAGTGAGAAATTGACACTAATTGTCAATTTTAATTGACAGTAAATTACATTGATTTTCCCCAAATTGAGTCTGTTTTGCCTGCAGTGGTGATT